TAAAAGAATATAGTGCATCAAAATAACAGTAGTATACTTGTATATACTCATTGTAACTTAATTCTGCCCTCTTTCTTTTTGGCAACAGATCCACCATTTAGTCTGTGTGAACGTGCCAGATTAAGAGGCTCAGAACAAAGACACCATGCAAGTTTCGATTCTTACCTTTCACTGCACAATTCTTTGCCATTCAACTCGTACACAGCGTCATCTGCATCTCTGTGGTCATCAAATTCCTGAGAAGAGACAAAAACAAAAGATTAGTTATAAACAGGAAAACTCGATCAGAACTCATACACACAAAGTGGTCAGTGATACTCACCACAAAGCCAAATCCATTCTTCAGGTTGATTTCCCTAATCCGTCCATATCCCTTGAAAAACTTCTCCACGTCTCTCTCTCTGGCGTGCGGGCTCAAACGGCCGATGAAGACACGACAACCATTCATTGTTATCCGCTGAAATGAGAAAACACAAGAACGGGTAAACATCAAGCCAGAGGAGGAGGAAAAGTGGAGTAAATATAGCTTAATATTTGAGGCTTCAAGCTCAGCGTGTTGACCTCACTTGGCCCAAAGTTAATTATAGACACTTTACAGTATGTGCAGGTTACAAGCTTGATGAGTAACAGATCTGCTACTGATGAGAACTGCAGACCAGATGGCAGACGTTGTGTTCATGACTTTTAAAGTTGTGCATCACCATTCAACTTAGCTGAAGGTTCAAAATTTGCATCCAGAACGAAACTCTGTTTTTAATCCATGAAAAAGGTCAAAGTAGTGTCACATAAAACTAGACCCAGACTGAAAACGACTCAAGTGAAACTTATCAGACAAGCCAGCTCTGGTCTAACCAGTTTCACCTCACCCATTGATGCCTACACAAAGGCTATAGCCAGGGTACTGGTAATATATGCAAGTGGCTGCTTGATCTGCTTTACTCACCAGCCCCCCCAAAAAACAATGGTTATCTATTAAGGGGCTAGTAGATTTTTAAATTATGCAGCCACAGTGGCAGATGGATAGACAAAGTTAATTTCCAACCCTAGCTAATGCTCAATTTTGATGGACCTGCGTTGGAGAGGTGTTAGTTTAGGAGATTGAACTTTTATTTGAGGTGAACTGACTTAGACTCTAAGTAGTAATTTATATTAATAAGGTGGGCGAAATGTTGAAAGCACATCTCAGTATGACACAACATGATTGAGTAGCACCATAAACTCACACCACGGGCTCGAGATGCTTATTAAGTTAATTCTGTGCCTCCATAAAGCGGATTCAAGTAATGTTAAATTAGTCAACTGTCTAACGAAAATATTTTTAATACATCTACCCTTAGCCAACAAACAATCCGTACAGAGTGAGGACTCTCGGTCGTCACATGATAGGCCCAACTGCAGCCTGCTAACGTTACAGCAACATAAAGCTAGCTCTTACTACGAGGACACACCGAGATACTGTTGCCATGTTACCGTCTAAAATTTCTCCGAGTTAACGTTAACGCCTTAAATTCGTGTGTCGATGAAATGAAGAAATACTAAGTTAGTTAGATAAAAACTAACAAATACAATCCTGTTTCAGCTGTCCAATATTAAGCTAACGTACGCATCTCTACATTGCTTAAAAATAATTTCGCCTCTTGCTCGGTTAGTCCATAACGGTTGTTAGCTCGCCTCGAGGTCGACTTCAGTTAGCTAAGGCGAGCTAGCAACCAACCGTTAGCTACAAATACATTATCAACTGCTCTGAACACATAAACACCAAAATTAGCTCAAATACAACAACATCCAATTAATACAAATATTCTACATCGACTCACTTTGATTCTCACCTATTTGTTTTCTCTGAGCGTCTCTGGTTTGGTTGTTTACGTCACTGGTAAGCTGCCACTTTGACTGAGCCGTCTCTCTGCTCTGCTCGACTTCTTTAAAATGGCGCACGAGTCCAAAGAGCAGGGAACAGGAAATGCTGCTGCCTCCAGGTTGCCAGTGTGTGGGGTTGCTCGTTAACTACGGCGGTTAATCTTTAACGCAGGTACAGTCGACGACTTTGCCCTTTTTGTTAGTATTACACCGACTGTGTTGACTTATCTCAGTGAAATAAACAACAGCGTCTTTAGTTAAATTACATTATAATATTTTTAATCGTGAAATAATAAGATTAACAGTTAAATTTCTTCAATCATCAAAGGGGGATTCAGAACGGATTTGGCAACCCACTTCACAGTTTGCATTGCGATATTATATGATATTATATGATATTATATTATATTGTAGTGTATTATATTATATTGTAGTGTATTAGTTGATATGTCTGTCTCGTTCTATTAATTTAGAAAATGTTAATTTTTTTTCTTCCTTTTTTTGAAAAGGTTTTTCTTTGTTTGCTTTTTTTTTGTTTTTGTTTCTGTGGCTTGTCCAATAAGAGTGAAGTTCAATACCTGACACATCAAAGTAAAAATACTTAATAATACTGGTGCTTATAAATATAAATATATATTTATATATCATGTAACTATAATTTATCATATAAAATTTAATATTAAAATAATAAATAAAACACTAAAAGTCCTGCTCATGGCCTACTATTATATTATATCACTATACTATATTATATTATACATTTTATTGGCTCCATTGATATATCTACCAAGTTCTTTTTATCTATAAATTGTTAATGTCTAAAATTTATTATTATTATATTTTATTTTTGTATTTGGTTAATCAGTGAAAGTGTAATTAAATATCTGTCTTCATCATACTTATGCTGAAAGTCATATACAGTCAGGTCCATAATTATTTGGACAATGATACAGTTGTCATCATTTTGGCTCTGTACACCATCACAATGGGTTTTAAATGAAACAATGAATACCTGCTTAAAGTGCAGACTCTCAGCTTTCATTTAAGGCTTTTTTTATTATTAGTATTTATTCTAGTGAAGTAAAATCCAGTATAGCCTAATACACCCAGAGATGTTAATCATGGTGTATAAAACCATGGCAAAATCTGTAATGGTTGACAAATTTATATTGTCTTAAATTACCCATACTCTACAACAGAAGAAACAAAACACTCCTGTGTTATTCTGTCTCTTTATTCTAGTACTATATCTTCATTCTTGAAATTGTCTTGGGTTAGGAAAAGGAAATACAGGGTTATGGTTGATACAGAACAATAGAAAAAAATACCTGTCTGGTCTGCTCTGCAGAAAGTGCCGGAGACTTTTGAGCATGGATTACTGATCACTGTACAGCTCCTGTCAACTCAAAATATACCAAAGAGTCTGAACACAGTACACGTGGTGAAATGTAAGACTACACTGAAAATAAATAAGAATGTAGCTTATTTAAGAACATGACGAAGAAGTCAAATGATTCATTTGCACTTTCAACCCCTGTTTAACAAAGTGTTCAGCAGGAGTGAGATGGCGGTCACTGTTACAAGTCATGTGATTTCCTTCCTGAGAAAGGGGAGCTGTCCATGAACACACTACAGCAGGAGGGATGGGACAAGATTAAATCACATGTTCACTGAGCTTTGCATTTTAAAAAAAGCAAGCGACATGAATTTAAATGAGTAACCAGGAGCCGATGTTTGTCATTATAATCATTATAATCACCACCATCATCGATAGCAGAGAGAAAATAGTCATTAATGGGGTTGTTTACCTGCGTTTAACCTAAAACCACAATAACTTTATGACATCATATTTTCCCTTTATGAGTATCCAACATTCTTACTGCAACAAAACCTCAGAAGTCACTTCTTAAAAAGGTCTGTTAACGATGATTAAAATGCTTCGTATCTGTAAACACATCACAGTTCAGTTCACAGTTGAAATAAACCAAACATAAGAATACTGTCTTAAAGGAAAAGTTAGATTTTTTGAGGAAATACTTTCACTTGTTTTCTTGCTGAGAGTTAGATGAGAATTGATGATTGATACCATTCATGCCTGTTGGATAAATATGAAGCTTCACGTAGCAGTCAGTTAGCTTAACTTAGCCTGGACACAGGGAACTAGCGAGCTCCGCTCTGTCCAAAGAAAAGAAAACAATCATCTGTCAAATTGTTGTTTTTAGACTTAATTTTCAAACGAGATTTGAGGTGTTAAATGGTGAACTGTCAGTGTGCTGGTAGGATTTTGTTACCTTCGGACAGAGCCAGGCTAGCTGTTCCCCCTGCTTCTAGTCTTCATGCTAAGCTAAGCTAGCAACTGGTGGCTGTAGTTTCATATTTACTGAATGGACGTTAAAATGCTGCCCACTTTTGCTGAAAAAACGTTCATATAGATTGACTGTGCACGCCGCTTATTACAACTCTTACCTTGCATTATTGTGACGTTGGAATAATCGTGAAAATGGATAACTAGGCGAAAATTTTGGTACCCAAGTTGCCAGATTGATGTCATATCACACAAAAAAAAATGGTGGACAAAAGTAAATGTTTGGTATATCGTAATAAACTTAATCAATTCACATGTTGCACATTAATATTCGCTCACATGTAATTTGCAATATGGTATCAGGTTGTAACTGACAGTTCCTGTAGATCTAGACTGAACTAGATCAGTTAGAAGAGTTATGCATTAGCATTAGTCAGGTAAAGCAATATTTAAGTAGTTTAAGGGGACATACTGGTGCAGCAACAAGTCTGGGATGAAATCACTTCGTACACATCTTCTGTGTGGCGTCCATATTGTTTTCACATTATGACTTAAAGCCCAGTTCAGACCAAAGATTCATGACGAGACGAGTTGAAAAAGGCAACTACTTCCAATGCGCGTTCTGCAATGTCCTAAAAACCTGCCGGTTCACACCAATGCAACTAGATGAGACGGTGTATCATCTCTATGCAACAACTCTGTACCTCTGTTCTGATTTCCAGCTTTTCGGGTTTATTTTGTGGCTGAATATAATTTGTAGATTCTTACAATATGAATGAGGATAGTGATAGTGAGATACTGGCTACAGCTGCATTTGTAGTAGTGATGAAACAGTGAAAAACAGAAACAAAACGAGCATCAGATGGACTGTATCCATGATAAATATGCCACAATAATATAAATAACCAGTGTTAATTAATCAGTCAAAGAGAATGTAGCAAGCCAATTGGCTGTTGAAAGCGGTGACGATCCTTACGTTCTAAAACCACTTGCCAGTGATTTGACCAGTTGAGTTGCAGGTGACACCATCAGCCGACTTTAGTCGAGTTCAGACAGCTGGTTCACACCGCCGCAACTTTTCTGTGAAATGTTCTAAAATGGTTTCGTCTCTTTGTGAATCTTTGCTTTGAACTGGGCTTTAGACTCGTGAATAACCAAATTCGGAAGAACGTCTTGCCAACTCTGGAAATGGGACCATCTGAGAAGAACATAATTGCAGCATTAGTTAAGTTTATTGTAAGATGGCGCCCTCTAGTGGCTGTAGTAATTATTATTACGGGAATGGAGGTGTAAGTAAGGTGACGTAGCATAAAAAGCCTCAAAGTCTGTGTAGTCTTGTGAAAAAAAAGAGGAAGTTCCTGTAGCGTAGACGGGATTGGTGGCGGATTGGTCAAACAAGCACAGGACTTTCAACCAGGAATCAGCGCTGACTTCTTTTAATGACGACGTAGCATATTATGCCAGTATGGGGGTAGCAAACTACGCTAGTGACATATGTGACGTGACAAAAGTACTTATTCAAAGCTATACCATGACGGTTTTTCCACACCTAATCATATAGCTTTGTTGCCTAAACCCACCTAACATTGTTTCATAGCGCAACTGTGATCGTTTCATAATGTTAAGTACGTTTAAAGCCGGAACCATTGGGACGTCATATATGTTGTTTTTGAAGTCAGTGGAAATCGACCTATCCTGTGGTTGTTAAAATGGTACTGATCTTTTTATCTAACTTTCTGCAAGAAAGCAAATAAGTATATTTCCCAAAATGTAGAAACTATTGCTTTAAGGACTGTACTGTAAAGGAGAATACTGATTTTCTGCTTTCCTTTCTCATGGCTGCTCAGTCGTGATTGGTTTAAATGTTGAAAAAGGTGATAAGACCAGTATCACAGAGGAACATTCTCCGGGTGTAAATGTACATTTCCAAGCCTGGAAGTTATCGCACCATTATCATATAAAGACCATTTGGATATAAAAGCGTAGACAAAAACTGTAGTGGGTCACAAAGTCAATAATTGTCAGTGTAGCAGCTTTGCTTTCTTTGTGTTTGTGTCTCTGAGATGTTCACAGATTGTGAGTGGGCTGCCGGCAGCTGTATGAACAGCGACTATTTAAACTGAACAGTATTTGCCCTTGATTGTTTGTTAGGAACTGGTTATGCTGGCAGCCAGTTTACGGTTTAAGACGAGTCCCAGGTTGGATCGGTTGTTTTACAAAAGGAAAAGGAGGAGGAATACTTGATTGATAAGAAGTGTGGAGTCTCAGCTTAGCTTCTGTTCTTTCGACATGCAACATTTTTACGAGTTCGGACTGAACTCGAGGAACAATCAAATCCTCTTTAAACCCTCTAAAATGGCCAGAGTTAACTACTGCAGTTCCACACAATGAAGCAGAGTCAATGATATCAACTGAAGGCCACAGAGAGGTTATTGAACGAGAACTTGTTGAAGTTGAGCGGGTTAGCGGTTTTCCTGGTAACGTCACTATAAGTAGCCTCAGGTGTCTAGTTATTCTACAAAAGCAGCTCTGAAGGCAGGGCAGGGAACAAGGCTGACAAAGGTTTAAAAGTTCATGGAAAAGACTAATAATAATGTACTACAAACTTCAGATCTACAAGTGGTTGTTATGGAGTCTGAGCCACACTTCAGCGCTCACGTCAAAGTTCGTCGTCCTGACGTCTGTAGAAAGGACGGGCAGGGTCTCTGTAGGTCTGAAGTCTCTGGCAGCAGCTCGTTTCATGAAGAGGTGAAGTCTTCTTTTCCTGCCTCTTTACTCAGAGGACAAACAGTATGAGGTCAGCTGGTTGTTCAAGCCTACTAATGCCACTTGAGCCACTAGCAGAGATGGCAGGGAGGTCCAGAGGTCAGTGTATTTTGGGCAGTTCACACCCTCGTGTGGCGACAGCTGTGGGAGGAGCCGGTGGCGGCCGCTCCGGGCGGTGACGAAGGGTCCTCGTCACTGGACTCGTTGTGTTCCTCTTTGTGGAGGCCGAGGCTGATGTGGCTCTGCAGGGCGGCCGGGGTTAACCACTCCTTGGGTAGGCAGCTCTGCAGGAAAGGGATGCAGGAGCTGAAGTACGCCAGTCTGTTGACCCAGCGAGGGATTTCCCGTCCACACAGCAACTGAAAAAAGTCGGAATATGCTGATGTGAAACATATGGTTATATTCATCGGTGGAGCAAATATTTAGATCCTTTACTAAAAATACTCTTATTACAAAAAAGTAATTATAATCAGGAGAATGTGCAATATTCAGCCGTACTATGTGTAGTTTTCATACCTTTTACAGTTATTTATTGTCTATTATTTAATAGTGTGAGGATTGGATGGTTGAATGTATGGAGGATGTGGTGTTAATCGTCAGCACCTTACAGAGTAGCACTCCTAATTTCGTTGTGTTTTTTTAAAGGATACAATGACAATAAAAGGCATTCTGATCTGATTCTGATCACAGTCACCATCTTTGTTTATCATTTTAGCATAGTAACATATTTACAACTATTTACCGTTAAATACACAGTGCAGCCGATGCTGATGGGAATGTCTCCAGTTTTGCAGGTACTTCTCATAAACCAAGGTAAATTAAACTAAATGAAAAGTTAAGAGATCAGCTAACTCATTACAATTCATCCTGAGGAGGACATAAATGTAACAAAGGCAATCCATCCAGTAGTTGTTGAAGCATTTTTGTCCAGACCAAACTGGTGGACCCAATGTGCACTTGCATCAGCTAAAAATGTGTCGAGCAGATTTATTTTTCCATACTTGAGAAAACTCCCTTCAGAGCGACAGAAGACATTATACAACTGTTTTTAAAGGCTGAATTGTACTATGTGAAAGATGCATATAGTGCACATAGATTTTATGTAATTCTTATTTTATCTGACTTTTATTTCTGTCGTATTTTCCTCAGTTTTTAATATTCAATTACTGTTCCTTTTTTCTCTTGCCTCTGACTCTTTAGCTGCTGTAGCATGTGAATTTTTCCTGGTGTTGGATTAATAAAGTCTTATTTCATCTTATCTTCCTTATCATGACAACTAAACTGAACCTTCATGTATAAATTTGATGGGGTGTCCCTTTAAAGGTATGTCTGTTAACACACTTTCATAGATCTTTTTTATATTAAAGAATATTTTTGTGCAGCAGTTGCATTTAAAAGTGAGAAAGGGTGCAAATATAAAGGTGGAAGTATAAAAAAAAAACAGTAAACAAATATCCAAAGGCCAAAAATATAACCAAGTTTAACTGTGAGGTCGTATCTGTTGCTGCTTCTTGGTGAACATATAGAAATGTAGGACAAGTAACTTACTTAACTCACTTATTTATAGCTGTTACTGAGCACTGTTCTGTATAGTTTCTCAACAATACGTACATGTAGGAACAAAAAAAACATTTGGCAGTAAAAACGGGATCAAACTGACCTCAGACAGCGAGGAGGAGAAGTGGTTGCAGTTCTTGTGCATTAGATGGTAGGCGTTGCCTTTAAACTCTTTACCCAGCTCCTCCATGATTTTATCTATGTCCTCCTCTGTGAAGTCTGTCGTACCCAAAACAATGGCCTCCCTGTTTGTGAGCAGAAAACACACATCAGCACACTTATCTCCAACATTAACATGAACACCCCCTCAGTGTACTGTATGCTAATATGGAGCATGCTCACTTGAATTTGAATGTCTCTCCCAGTTCAGCGGCGTTCCCGGGATTGATTTCAAAGATGCCGCTGAAAGGGTACGGGTGGCCCCCGTATGCAAACTCTGTGTGGACAAAGATACAAAACACAGGTTAACTCTTTGAATGGAGGCACCAAACAACTGTAATTAGACAGAAGCCAGCAATTATTCACTGACGCACTGTGCTTAAATCATTAGGCCGGGCTAATTACAGGCCGCCCTGCACTGTATTTACAGCAGTATAATGGAAAAAAACAGATGAACACTGAGGGCACAGCATACTGAACAGAGCACCTGACACTGTCGGCTTTGTATCCTTTGACTTTCATTTGAATTTATACATTTTAACAACACACACAGCTGTTTCAGCCATATGGCTGGCATACAGCTACAAATACACTAGTGTGGGGAGGCAAGTCAGTGAGTATGAGGTAAGTATACAAAGTTATTTTATATACAACATGTTAAAGAAATTATTATGCTTAGATATATTAAGATTTCATTGTTGCCACATAAAAACTAGTGGTGGAAAGAAACCAAGTACACTGAACACATCACTTTTGTTTTTGGTCTCATTTTCACAGGTTTAAATTAAAGATCTGAGACTTTTTTCATGCACGCAATGGATATACAGTATTTCTCTCAAATTTCAGTCACAAATTTGTCACACCTGTTAGGTGGATGGATTATCTGCTCACTTACATGGATTTTAACAAATCTGCGACCAAAATTTGAGAGAATGTATCTGTTGAGTGCACAGAGAAGTCTTGGATCTTTAACATAAACCTGTGAAACATCAGAGCAAAGACAAAGTGTTTTGTTTCAGTGTACATTAGGCGGGGTACTTCCGCTTTACTTTAGTCTTTTTGTCTTCTTCTCCACTACAGTCCAGAGGGAAATATTGTCATTTTTATTCCAGTACATTTATTTGATAGTTTTAGATATTAGTTACTTTACAAAGAAACATTTGACACATTCAGCATATCCTGATATTATGAAATGGAATACACTGTTACAGATTAAACTACAACTTCATATTCTGGACAGTTGGTTAAAGGGACAGTGCACCCCAAAATTAAAAACATATTTTTCCTCTAACCTGTAGTGCTGTTTATCAATCTAGATTGTTTAGGTGTGAGTTGCAGAGTGTTGGAAATATCGACCATAGAGATGTCTGCCTTCTCTCCTGCATAATGGAACTAGATGGCACTCGGTTTGTGGCGCTCAAAGTGCCAAAAAATACATTTGAAAAACGAATTTCTTTTGACCAAACACATGGACGAGAGGCTTGTGACAGCTAGCTAGCAGTTAGCTCGCTCTCCTAGCACCACTGAGCTAGGTAACGTTATAGCTCAGCCGAGGAGGACGCCATTAATGTTTACATCTGGTGCTGTTATGAGCATGAGCATGAGCCTCTCGTTCATGAGTAGATGCACACATCCTTCTGTGCAGTGATACAGTTGGTAGGTGTAGTTCTGTAGAAAGAAAATAGTTCCTACATGAAACTGCTCACGACAAGGTCTGTGGATTATCTTGAGTAACTGGGTCATGATTTCTAGAAAGAGACATTGCTGTTGAGTTTTTCGAATTTATTTTTTGGCACTCTGAGCTCCACATGCCAAGTGCCATCTAGTTCCATTATACTGGAGAGAAGGCAGACATCTCTACAGTTGATATCTTCAGCACTCTGCAACTCACACCAAAACAATCCAGACTGATAAATAGCGCTACAGGTAAGAGGCAAAATATGTATTTTTGATTTGGGGGTGAACTGTCCCTTTAATCCAGTGGTTCCCAACTGGTCCAGCCACAGGGTCCAGATTTGTCCTTAGTCATTAGTTCAAGACCCACACAGGTTAAAATTTTCGGCGTCATACCTGCGTTAGGCTGTGCTGTCATGCTCGTTTTCTGTCTCTGTTTAGTATCTGTCTGTTATTGACTCACTTCAAAATAAAAGCTCTGTGCCAAATATTCACTGTACTTGCAATACAGTGTGTTTTTTACAAACATGACATGTTCGCGAGTCACTTTTGGACCACTGCCCACTGGTTAGGAACCACTGCTTTAATCTATAATAATCATATTTTAGAAAATGATTACATGTTTGTATGTGAAATTTTTATTAGATGTCAAATACATGTAATGGAGTAAAAAGTACAATATTTGTGTCTAAAATGTAGTGGAGTAAAAGTATAAAATAGCATAAAATAAAGTGCTCATGTAAGGTACAAATACCTCAAAATTTTACTTCACTACTGTACCTAAGTAAAATGTATTTAATTACATCCCACCACTATCTGTGAGTTATGGAATTAATGCAAACTCATTTATAGATCCCTTAACATCTGAATAAACTCAGTACTAAAACCTTTTAATTAAATCCACATTTCAAAAAAAATTGACATCTATTTCGAGTTGCTTTTAATCTGACAGTGATACATTAAACATGATTAAATTCATTCCGTCATTATGCAAATATATGCTGTAAGCACAAAAAAATGTGCAGAAATTCCATGAAAACGAGCGACTTCCTGCCCTGTGAGGATTTTTACTATCATCACATTTCACCGTGCACAGAGACAATATTTCTCGTTGCAAGGGCATAATGGAATTCCCAGTGATCTAGTTTCACGCTGGTTTCTGCCTCTCTTTTTTCAAACACACACACATACACACACAATGCAGAGTGAGTCAGTGGTGACTCAACCCAGAGAAATGGGGTCATGTTATTAGGAACACAATTCCACATTCCATTTTTAAAACCAGACTTCATCTGTGTCTGTGAAAGAAGCCTCGCACAGACCTCACCATCAGACAGTGATGCACAGGCCTGAGTCCATCCTGCTGTGATTCCGCTCTGACAAGCTGTAATGGGATTTCTCCCAGATATAAAGGAAATGAAGCAAAGGTCTTACCTCTGCCATAAATCTCAATGCCTGAGTGGAAGACTCCAATCCCCAGATTGGAAGTGTATTCGTTTATCCAGTACTGCAGAGAATGAGAGGGAGGAAGAGTGAGGAGTGAAGAAGAGGGATCAATAGCAAGAGTTATTTTGTGTTGTATCAGGACATAAACAGTGCAGCAGCTCTACAGGAAATATTATGACACTGTAGCCTTAAACAGCTCATCATACTGTACTCAGTCTCAGAAAAATACTTAGTAATTATTCTGACACATGATTGTGAGGAAAAAATAAGTTCAGGATCACAATGACTTCACTGCACTGCTGCTATTCAGCTCAATCTAATTTAAAAAACGTGAGCTGTTTTTAAGTTAGAGGAACAGTTTGACCTTTAAGGAAATATACTCCGCCTTGTTGAGAGTTAAATGAGAAGATTGATGTCAAATGTCAAACTATTCCTTAAAGAACTCCATCTGATAATGTGCTACAATACAACCAGAAGCCACTACAGACCAAAAGACAAGCTAACGCTGTGATTTATGACTTCTCTAATATTAAAAAGATAATATTCAAATGTCAGCCTTGTCATATCAACATCTTGATCACATCTTACGGCTACTGGAGATAATTTTTGAATAAAATTAAATATTATTAATCCAGATTATATCTACACTTGACCCACCTATCTAAAGTTGAATCATTCTGAAATTATTTCCTCTTCTCTTCCTGTGGACACTCTTATGTACAGTTGATGATGCTATTAGATTGGTCAGCAAACCATAGACACCACTCATTGTGCAACCAAAAGTGGTTGTTTTTTATAGACATATCCCTGTGTTTCCAGATGTGTTTTTGCCAACAAAGGCTGCCGTTTTTTTTAATCAAGACATCACTTTGTTTACACCACCATAAGGAGTTGTTTGTAAGGGATTGTGCCACCAAAAGTGGTTGTTTACACAGAGAGATTGCTGCATTTCCATTGTGGAATGTATACAAAATACAGTTGTTGTTTTTTTACAGATGCATCTCTGTGTTTCCAGGTGCATTTGTGCCAACAAAAGCAGTCGCGTTTTTATCAAGACATCACTGCATTTCACCAAAGATTGTGACCTGACAAGCGGTAGTTTATTCAGAGAGTTTGCTGCATTTCACCCAGGGAATGTGCAACAAAAAGCTTTCTTTTTCCAAGACATCACTGTATTTCCACCGGGCACTGGCCAACAAAAGTTTTTTTTTTTTTTTTTTTTTTACCGAGACATCACTGCATTTCCAGCAGCGTTTCGCCACCAAAGCAGTTGTTTTTTACTGATACATTGCTGCATTTCCACTGGGGATTGTGCAACTAAAAATGGTTGTTTTTAACAGATGAACCTCTGTGTCTGCAGCAGCATTTTAGCATTTTTTTATTTATTTATTTTTTAAATCAAGACATGCACCACCAGAAGCAGTTGTTTATTCCCAAGAGATCGCTACATTTCCACTGGGGAATGTGCCAACAAAAGCAGTTGTTTTTTACCAAGATACCCCTGTGTTTCCAACAGGGAATTTTTTAAAGAGACATCGCTGTATTTCCATCATCTAAAAAATTGTGCCACCATAGGCAGGTGTTTATTCCAGAGAGATCGCTGACATTTCCACAGGGAAATGTACTACCAAAAGCAATTTTTTACAGAGACATTGCTGTGTTTCCAGCAGTGTTTTCTTAAAGACATCACTGCATTTCTACCAGGGATTATGCCACCATAAACTGGTATTTTAAACCAAAACGTAGTGTTTTCCTAACCATAACCAAGAGGTTTTTGTGCTTAATCCTAACCACAAGTTAACCACTTTAAGTTTCAATGTAGCCATTACATAATAATGTACAAATGTAACGTATCTGTGGTTCTCAGAAATGTACAAGGCCAACATTTATTCTGGCTGGAGTTGGAGACACCCTGGACTGATCCACTTCAAAGGCAGATATTAAATCAATCACACAGACACTCTCTGATCTATGTGACCTGCCAGTCTTTAGATGGCGGAAAATTACACTTAGAAATGATCCTGGTGATCTATGAGCCACCTTGCCGCCCCTTACTACAGACAATCAAGAGATAATTTATGGCAGGACCACAGCTCACTACCCCCAAAGCCCACTGACACTCCCACACCCTGAGACACCCCTGAGGAAACATGCTAAGAGCTATCCACACTGCCCCAGCTGTCCCCTATTAATAATAGAACATGTTTCCGGGCTCAGAGTGATACAATAAAAGCATATCCACCTCTTTACTTTGTGTTAACAGGGTCTTCTCATGTTTCTGCTGTGACTTTACCCCTTTTAGCTCTCTAGCTTTTACCATTTCACACCAGGAACACTGATGGAAATCTTTAAACCAGCCTTCAGCTTCCTGGAAGGAGTCAGTCCACAAGGACGAATTCTTCCAGCTAAGTGAAAAGAGATTGTGACAAGCTGACTATCAAATAATGCGACTTTGTGAGTCCTGCCAACATTAATGAAGCGTATTCAGTCATTGTTCTGCTGATATAAATCACACGTCTCTGATGCCTCAACTCTCTTGTTGCATGCCAGCACTGCTGCAGCGACCCTCCCTATGCAGATGCAGCATCCACCGCTGCACACATCCACCAGTCACATTGATTTCACATTGAAGGCGATCGATTCATCATCCTCCCTCCTTGTATGATTCACTCTCAGGCTCATCTTACCGCCTTCGTTCGTGTTTAATTCTCGGCAAAAAGTATTTAAGGCGGACTCTGACTGTCATTGCCCTCGTGATCACTTTCTCCCTCCTCAACAGACCCTGTGTGACCTGTTAAGTCCACACACTGGAATTAGATCAGCTGTTTGAGCAGCTGTCACTCCTGGCCCGACCGAGGTCCTCATCTGTGAGACAACTTCAGGAAACCAAGAGAGGGCTGAGACTCTGAACACTGCACCTGGCTCTGTGTCAGACTGTGTGAACATACATTTATATGTGTGAGTGTTCAGTCTCATTGTTGGCAATGTGCATATATGGTGCTGTTGTTTTACATTTGTACAGTTTACTCACATCTAGGAAGCTAGCAGATGAGGGCACTTGTTGAAATACTTGACTACAGGTGAGCAAAAAAAAAAAAAAAAAGCATTTGGAGAATTCAGCTTCATAACACGCAAGTGACTAAAAATAATTGTGATAAGTTGATCATTTCTAAATCTCTGCAGAGTTTTATTTGATTGTCAACTGCAGATTTCCTATAATTATTTTCAATATTTCATGGGGAACACTTTATCTCAATCACCACCCACCATTTCAGCATTTATAAATCTAATTAATAAACTATTTTAAATACACCGCAGGATACTTTTAAGCACATATGGGGACATTTACAGTGTTTACTCATGTACTGGTCAACAACTATAACTCCTCTCATGAAGCATCTGTAAACAGATAACGTGTGATTGACAACATAAAACAGTTGTAACCAAATAAACAGGGGAGGTGTGTTTGTTTAAGGCCGCTAAAAACATAAATATGGAATAAACAATGACATTAGATCATTTTTCAGAGAACTACCATCTTCATCTAAACATATAAATCAAGCAACATGACATACTGTTGAGAAAGGCTCTGTTCCATGGCTGTATTTTAATTATTACAAATGTCAGTGGGGTTTCGAATGAGGTTTTCTTCCTGATGAAACAGAGCCAAGAAGTTATGGATTCACTTCCACTCTCTATTCCCTCTTTGCTGTGGCCATTAAATGTATTTGTACTCATTAGGTTCCTCTCAATATAGCAGGGGTTCTTGCAAAACATTCTTGCGCCAACCTCGTCACATATCGACATTTGGTCATGGACTTTCCACATCCAGATACGATGTGAAAGGTACCCTGGGTGTGTTGGTTGATGATGTTCTAGGACACGTTGTCAAGTTCTGCCTGATACATGCATTGTCTTCTTTCAAAATACAGTTCTGTTTTTACCGGAAATTCACAGTTGACATACAGCCTCTTTCAAAATAAATGCACTACGTCAGTACACCAAAGCGAATTGACATTTTTCTGCCTCCAACAACTATCATACGTGGTTGGGTTTAGGCAACAAAAGCATGTGGTTAGGTTTAGGGAAAGAGAACAGGGTTTGGCTTTAGAATCTTACCGGATGCATACACCGCTCTCACGGGTGGAAGTTGGTGTCTGTTGGACCCAACAACCACCGACTACCACCAAAACTTCCACATGCCCTACATGGACTTTCGTCACCTTAACTTTTGTTTGTGTCCCACTGCATTTCCCCCTGACGCCACAGAGTGCCACGAAACTATAATGGCAACCGACAGCGTATCATGCCGACGTTAAAGGACGGCTTTTTGGTCAGTGTCTGATGCCACAAGTCAATGCCCAAGCACTGGATTTCAACGACTTCGGAGTGAGACCGGGTTGGTTCTCAAACTGTGGGGTGTATTAAGCCACAGCAGGAGGGGTGTGGATGACCAGAGGAAAAATACAGAATTAAACAAAGTTGAATGAATATGACTTATGTATGCAATTTTTTATGTCACAAAAATTCAATGTGGATCCTTTTGTTTTAGTTTCTTCCACAATTATTGTTGTTATAGTAACAAATATTATTGTTAGGTGTGACAGAAAAAACTTTAAAGGACCTGACACACCAAGCCGACAGTCAGCCATCGCTCCACGTCAGTGAGCGTCTGTGGCCCTCGTCTGCACTAGTCAGCTTTTATTCAGCAAATTCAGCATTTTGAATCGGCATAGGCGACTGTGGAGCCCATTGGTGAATGAAATCACTCTGACTGGCAGTTAAGCTCAGTGCACAAGAACAGAAACGGATGTAAGGAAATGAAAGGGCTAAAGTCGAGAGGAAGTGAAACCAAAACAACCTTGTTATATAAGATAAGATTATTTTTCTTTGGCCACTGAGTGCTTTAGCACGCATGTTCTGCATTTGTGTGAAAGAAAATATAACTCCACACCAGCTGACAGCAGTCGCCTGTAATCGTCATACCAAAAGGGACACAGGAAGACTGTCTTGACGCTAGTTAGCCAGTTGTGCTCACGTGCAACTATTCTGCAGAGACACAGGCAATGTGAGGCGACGCAGCAGTGGGCTTTCATCGCCACTAGTTCTCTGAAGTCAGTTTGGTTTGTCGCACGACAGGATTTTGCCAAGTAGGACATGCTCCTGGATCAACATCCCACATCCCACATAACATTGAACAAAATCCTTATGAGCTACTGTAGGGTTAGTGTGTTAGCTTGCTAACTAGGTAGGCTATGCTGTTGAGTAAACTTGCCAATAGGCCACAATTTTAGCGCGTTAGCTTGCTAAGTAAGATATGCTAATGAGTAAACTTGCAAATAGGCTTGATTATTGTTAACAAACAAAGATTAAGGATATTATTATTTTCAGTTGCAAATACCTGTTGTGAACACATTTTCCCAGCCTACTTACTAACCAAGCTAGCACGCTAACCCCGCAGTAGCTCATAAGGGTTTTGTTCAATGTTACTGAAGATTTTGTTTCATTTTACTAACTTCAATTTGGAAAACTAGCTCAGAGGAAGCTTAAAGGATTTTTAAAGAAGCACAGGAGCAGCACAGAGATGATGTCAGAGGATTGTGATTGGTTGATGGCAATGTTGGTCCAGGAACAAGAACCACTGCTTTATAATAAGTTTTCATTGTCAGTGGCGGGGTCCGCCATTCAGGCACAGGATTCAAGTGGCATGAACACGAAGTACTTGAACACTTGTCCATTCAATTCTTATTATAATGATAGTTATTATGAATATGTATTAATTATGAAATACATCACTCTCATGACAAGAAAGCTTGTGAGGAAATCTCGTAAAGTGACCTTGAGTGCGGAAGTTATTGTCAAACTGATATTTTCAAGGTCAAGAATGAACCTTGAGGCTCAACATGTTCTTAGGTATAAACAGTTTAATACATGTTTTATAACACACAGCAGAGGGTGTCATCGTGTGTATCATTAATTATTACAGCTATGTTATATCATTCATTAACTATTTATTGGGCGGAAGTTTTAATCATTGACAAATACATTAATAAACACTTGTGTGTATCTGCTTACAGCTACATTATAGTGTGTTATATATATGCTGCATCCTAAATTCAAGGAGCTGAGTTACCAAAACACTTCACAGCTGTTTTGGTGTTAACCGAGTAGTTGTGGATTTACAGCAACATGTTGCATAATGTCCAAACAGGAGGCTGTTGAGCACTGCAGACTGAAAAGACCAGGCAGTGGGCACATGTCTGAATGAAGACCCTTGTCCTTTACTGGTGTGTGCGTGTGTGTACATGTGCATCATGTGAGCTGTGGGCACAGTGACAGAGGTCAGAGGGTTGAGGGAAGCTCTTGTTTCATTCGCTTTAGGTTCAAGTGTGTAACTGAATTTCTTATCTGCTTTCTTATCTTTTGTTGTTACAGTGTTTCACGAGACAAACACAGCATTACAGATCAGAATTCAGCTTGACAACACAATGCATGTTGTCTGCAGTGAGCCAGAGAAGGACACGTGCACTGGGCAGATGGCTTTTCTTCAGCCTGGGTGTGCCTGTGCTCACTAAAGTCCAATGAAAATTCTTTTAATTTACAGTTTTTAGGAGTTACAGTAGCATTTGTTATAGCACTACGAAAATGATTCATTCACAACTGTGGAGTTATATAAACAGTCTCCTGCTGCAGGCACAAACTACCTGTTTTGCATGTCATATTTGAGCTGGACTCTTTCCAACGTTAAAATAGCTGTGAAGTGCACTTGTGAAACAGGTGTGTAGTGGGTTGGTTATTTCTAGTGGTGCATTCACTTCCTCTGCTGGTGTCAGATTACAAATGGCCCCTGCCAGAAGCAGAAAATAAAACTGAATAAGAAAGTGTGTGTGAGTGGGATTCTTACCATATCATACACGTTAAGGATGACAGGTTCATTGGCCATGGTTTAAACCTGAGCTGGAAAGGCAAACGTCCCCACCCTCCACGTTTTATGGTTGTCAGGACCTCCACACCCGTGTGAAGTCACAGGGCCACACGGTGGACAGCAGCAGCAGCGGCGGGCAGGCGTCTGCTGGAGGGATGGAGGCTGCTCATTCCCCCCGCAGGGCAACTACTGCATGGAGCTGTGCAGAGGCGAGCAAAGCCAGGAAAATGTCCCAAAAGAAAGAGTATAGCTTAGTCACAGAGCCATAGTGGCATGCAGGGTCAGGAAAGCATCAAACTCAGACCCCAGCAGGGCAGGTGCACCAGTGGACGCGGCCCATTTCCTGCAAAAATATCTGTTGTAAGAGAAAAATCGATGCTGGTAAGAGGTGAATTTGCAGAATGCAAGCACCCACAGCAGCTCAGATGCTCCTATCATAGGTGATAATGTGATCCAGAGCAGCGGACACAAAGGGCCTGCAAGTGTGGAGATCTGAAGCGGGCGCCCTCCTGTCAGCACGGGCGAAAAGGCGACAGCTAGGGCGGACCGATGTCGACGATGGAGGCGGAGTGCGGGCCATGTTCACACAGACGATGTCGGAGCAGCTGCGGGAGAGGACTCCTGAGCCATGGTGGTTAATTACAGCTGATGTGGAGGGGGAGCCAAGTTCACCAGCAGCAGCAGCATCCCCGGCCGGTGCTGCTCCTACTGCTGGTCCGCATCCAGCATCCTCTTCGTCTGGAGGGGCAAAACCTCCGCGACATGACTCCTTTAACAACCAGGGAACCGCTGAGTCGATCCGCTCCGATGAAGGGTTTTTCAGATGTGTTTCACAAAGTGCCAAAGCAGCAGAGATCCATCCGTATGGTGCGGCTGTTATCCTGCTGTCTCTCCCTCTCTCTGCTGGTCGGGACTGGAGCTTTGGATTACATCATATCTGCCTCCGAGGCAACATCCTCCAACAGCTGATGAGAGACGGAGCTGCTGGTGGGTGTACAGGAGCACATTTTGTTACAAAAGACACTACCACTTTACTATTTTTGTCAAACACGGTCCTGCTGTATCACACGCTTTATTTCCACCTCTCTGTTCTCTGCTGTTTTTAACGGCTGCTCAAACCGACCGTTAAAAACCGTTAGGACACGTTTAACTTTATTTTCAGATCCGTTGGCGTAAAATGTGTTTGTTTAGTTTCTCGAAGTCCCTTTTTATCCGACTACCTCTCAAATGGGTAAGTGAAAATTATCAAAATGTATATATAATTCAACAATACAACAATTTCGTGTATTATTTAGTGATATCAAATTAGCTAAAAAAATTCTGCTAATGTAACCATAATTCATTTTAGTTGTTCAGTTATTAATCATTTAATGGTTGTTTTTCCCCACTGCATTAGGCTAATAAAAAGCATTATTATGTATATAGCAATATTTGACTGTAGGCTATTTCTAAAGGAGTTTTATTTCGCAATATCTTTTATTTTGAAGGTAATTAACAACATTCGGTTGTTACGCTATCGTTAGCTAACTTTATAGATTTAGATTTAGCCAAAACTAGAGTTATTCTATAGAATATATTAGAATTGGTTCAATATTAGGGTTATTTATCATTCATGTATGTCTTATCCATTGTATTATGCTAATAAAAAGCAATATTATGCATATGGTAATATTAACTATATTCATAAAGTTTTATTTCGTCTACTTTTACTTTGAAGGTACCTGACAACATCTGGTTGTTACCCTATCGTTAGCTAACTTTACATATTTAGCTTTATCCAGATCTTGAACTATTTTATAAAATTTGTTTTGTTCAAAATTAGAGTAAGGAGATATATTAAATCATATCATGTTTAAATATTACGAATAAGATATTAAATAAGAATTTTGACTTGTGGTCAAAAACATGATTAGACATAGGCTAATTTTGATTTGGTAAATTTACTTCCCGATCTGCATCATAATTGATCTTAGTTCAGTTATTTGCCATTAATGTATGTTTTTCCCCACTGTATTATGCTAATAACAAGTAGTTTAATGCATATGGGGACACTGTATTCAAAAAGGAGTTTTATTTTGCAATAACATCCACTTTTACTTTGAAGGTAATTGACAGCATCCGGTTATTATGCTAACTGTCTTTATTTACCAGTAGATTTAGCAAAAACTACAAATAATCCATAAAATATATTAGAATTTGTTCAAAATTATAGTTATGAGATGAATTAAATCATAATTATGAGATATTAAGTCACAATTTTGATTTACAGTCAAAAACATGTGAAGACCGGACTTATTTAGCAATTTTTATATGGTAAATTACTTTCTAATGTTGAAGGTAATTGACAACATCAGGTTGTTACGCTATCGTTAGCTAACTTTATAGATTTAGCTTTAGCCAAGTCTAGAATTAATCCATAAAATCTATTAGAATTTGTTAAAAATTAAAGTTATTAAATTAGTATTAAATCATAATTATAATACATTAAATTACCTACTTACCATTACCGTAGGCTCTCTGTGGACGTAGAGCCTACGCCGTAGCCTGATGTGCATCTCCCTAGAAATGTAACTAGCTGCTAGGCTAATTTATACAATGTAAAATGCCATAGGCTTATGCTAAAAACATTAGCATGTTGTATTTGTGGGGAAAAATGTGTCCAGATAAAGACAAGTGTTTGTCTGTGAGTGCTGGGAGTTATAGTGAAGCTGATTTGTGTACTTGTGTTTGAAATTGTCTCAACTAAACTTTACAGCACTTGGAGGCACAATGTTTTGGAGGGGTAACTGCAGAGTGACACAGACACACCACTGCACAAGTATAAATGCTCACAATGGCGTAGGCCACATGCGTAGGCTCTGCAAAGAGCTGAAGTACAAGTATAAATCTCCCTTAAAGACCTCACAAATTTTGACTATTAAACCTAATATGTAGAAAATTAAATTTAAAACATGTTTTGACTTTTTGAGGACCTGCAGACACCCTGGAGGTTTTTTTTTTGTCTTTCCAAAATTTTAAATGTTTGTTCATCAAAAACAGTGGTATTTACTAAAGGTGGGAAAGAAATTGATACAGCATAGTATCATGATATTTTTGTGTGGCTATATCATATTGTTACATGGGCGCCAAATATCCATTTTTTACTATATAAATTATTAATATCACAGAAACAAAACTTTCGGTAACCTACTTGTATAACAGAACTAGTTGCTCTTTCAGTCTATTAGATACATTTTACTGCAATAAAAATGATTAAAGTGAGATGAACAGACTCAAAACTTTATCTTGTTAGATAAACAGATGTTGACAAATTTTTCCTTTGAGGACATAATATACAGCTAAAAAAGGCAATTAATCACAATATAGTTTATCCCAATACTCAGCATATCACAACATATTCAAAATGGCAATAATATTCTATCATGATAATATTGTATCATAGGCAACTGGTGAGCCCCACCCCTCGTATTTCCAGATTGATGTGAAACATTCTGTATTTCATGCCATTAAATAAAAATCCAAACAGCCAACAGCAGGTGAATTCAACATGAATTTTAATACAGTAGGTGCTTGGATGTAAAACACAAAGTATTTTGCATAATTTATTAGTGCTTCTGATCTGTGTTTTTTTCTGGCAAACTGCACATATTCACAATCCCACTCAGCAGAGCAACATGAAATGTATTTACAGACGACGACAGCCACATACGGTCAGAGATAACTGCATGACAGATGCACTGCAGACTGATAAATGTGGACAAATACACCCAGCACACACAATTCACTTATTCATCTGTTCTATGGAAGTTACTGAAGAAGTTCCATGATTGTGGCTAGTGCAAAAAAACATTTTACATTGATGACAGCAACTCATTTCTTAACAAAAAAGAAAAAAAGAAACCCTCTCCTTTACATAGAGCTGGCTCAAGCTGCTTTTCAGTATTAAGCTGTTGATCCTTCACACAAATGTCCTCCGTCACAACCTACTCCCATTTTCATCAGTCACTTAGCAGAAGGTGCGGTGTGATTATAAGCACTGGCCTCCATGCAAAATTAGGAGAATGTCTGAAATGGCGGTGACACATGACACAAAGATGGCAGTGTCTCTTAGAGTGTCTGTAACTGAGTGTTAAAAAAATGAACCGCTCACGACGTGATATATGTTTGCGGCATGATTTGTTTCTTAGATAGAGATCTGATGGCTCACCCTGAGTGACCGTGTGACACTTCATAATAAACTCTTCAAAGTGAAACTACTTGGCGATACTTTGAACAAGTGTATTTTGCTTTAAAGGATAAATCTGGTTATAATATGTATTTTTCACATTGTCAACAAACCCCATTGGAAGACCAAAACCAACAACAGTCTGATACATCTTCTTGCTCTGTGCCATAGCGCTCCATCATCGTCCAAAAACTATTAAAAACACATCAATGAGCTGCACTGTTGGACCGGATCCTTTAATATGATGGATATGTACATAGTAGTGTATTCGAAGTCAGTCACATAAACACCTTTCTGCTGCTGTAAACACTCACTAGTGCACCAATTGTGTATTCATCCGCAGCTAAAAATAGTCCCCAACAAATTCACCACTTTCTCCTGTTTGAGTAACGTTAGCTAAAACCTACAGTGCCCACCTGTTTAAGGAATCAACCAAGCCATTTTTGAAAATGATTCTAACTACCCACTGAGGAGCTCCTTCAAACAAACATACATTCAAAGGCTTTTTTTCTGTTCACATTCGCACCACCAATAGTAACGCTAAAGTGATGTAATGTAATCTAGCTAGCAGCTGATGCAGCAACTTCACGTTCACATTGAGTCAAAAGCACGTTATATTTTTTTTGTTTTTAGTTATAGTTTTGCGCCGTCTTACTCGGCTAATGATTTTTTAAAAATGGCGTTTGCCAATATTGCATTGGCTGCTTTCGACCAATCAAGGTTCCTCTTGTGCTGGAAGAGTATAGGTGCTACAAAAGTCCCTCAAAATTGCGTTCTAAGAACTACGATCATTCCTGGTTCTTGCCAACGGGATCTCATCCCTACTGATCATACTTTGGCACTTGGGCAGGAGCTCTGGGTGTGACTAAGATGACACAAGAGACAGCCTTTTCCGTTGTATCTTGACGCAGTAGGGGTTTGCAATTAGGTTAAGGCTACAAAACTACTTGGTTATGGTGTGGAAAAGGTCACAGATGCTGCCAAAAAACACCCAGTGCAGTGGCTCAAACGTGGCCAGAAAGGCAGTGTGTCGCTAAAAACCACCCAGCTTTGAGTTGCACAGACGCTGAAACTGATGTTGTGTGTTGGTCTCGAACGCCAGTGTCCTGGGTCAGTGTCTGGCAATTTTTGGATCCGTCCACCTCCCCTCCCACCAAACCTGAGCGGACTTTTTTGCTCTTTAAACTACGTCTGTTGCTCTGAGGTGTTGGTGGAAGGCCCAGTGCGTCTTACATAGATGCCTAAGCAGCATATTTTGACATTCTCGGAGTGAGACCAGTTTGTTCATGCGGTGCAGACACAACAAAAAGGAGGATTCTTAGGACTGTAAAAAGTCCCTCCGGTCCAAAAACGCATCTATGTTCATGACGTATTCTTAAAGATTTACGTTTGGAACAAATGTACTTGAGGCTGAGCGCAACAGATGGAGTGAGGAAGTCAGAAAGTATTAAGAGACGGGCTAAACCACTGTGGTTTGGTGCTTATTATGGAATTTGTTGACATTGAGAAAACAGAGATTATCACCATCCTTTAATCTAATGTATTAATGGACGCTGTGGGTTGATTTTCATTTTGATCAAGATCAGGAGCAGCAAACACCACCATTACTTAGAATAGGCAGAAAAAGGCACTCTGAAGTCCATTACCAGACACAATTTATCACATTAACTGCAGGATGCCACTCCTCCCATGATTCTGTGCAACAGCGCAAAATGAAAATCAAACCCATTAATTTTTAAACACTGACAAACTGAAAACACAGTGAGTTCCTCTCACGTCGGCCCTCACACAGATCTGCCATTCAGAGATGGAGGTACAGAGGCCAACGAGCGACTGAACACAACACTGTCTTTCAGTTTGTAAGTGGACCCTGATGCTCGAGCCAGTCTGACCTGACCCGAGGATTTAATAGTATTCTGCATACAACTTCTGTGTACGAGCAGGTGTTTGTCTCTGCCTGAGCTCAGCCCAGCTCAGCCCAGCAGCAGGAATGTCACATCCTCCTTCTACTCTTTACAATCACAAAGTTATCTATTCAAAGTAATCTCTGTGGTAAGAGAGCATCTGTTTGCATAGGAAAAGATGTCAAGAAGCTACCATTAATCACATCATACACATGAACATGGAGAAACTCATCAGTGACACCAAACAGCTACTAATCAAAAAAATATCGTCTACTGCTCAGAGTTTGTTCCCTCTTTCTTTTCTTTGGCCTTTTGCAAAGTTTTGGATCTTAAAAATAATATACAGACAACGTCGGTTTCGTTAAAATTGCTTTCTGAAGTGCCGCATGTAAATGAATGCGAAGATGGAGGCGGCTCCCGCTAGAGCGAGCAGTATTCCCAGAGAAGACATGGAGGATTTGTGCTCGGGTTGTGAGCCTGTGGGTCCGTTCATGTGATGGGGTAACTGTAAGACACAGATACAAAAACAAGGATACATGTTAAAGCTGCACTGGAGGTTATTTTATATAGAAATGCACCTGTTACTGTTTAAATCACAAGTGTAGACAGAGAGGAGTCAGCTACTCTGTGTTTGGATTACTGCACGTTCTGGTGGACACACTTTCAGGTTCAGGAATCTTTGTGTATGATTCATCACTTCACTTAAAACTTACCTGATGTTATTGTTGGCCGTTCTCCAAAACATATGTTGTCTGACTGATATAATTTAATCCCAGTGTGGCACTGGCATCAGCTTGCACATACTTGACACACTCATTCAATTGGATTTATTTTCTGCTAAATCTTTCAAATGTAATGACTGATATGCAACACTGCTCACTGGATTAGAGCAAACTTGAATTTCATAACTTGTTGCATTAGGCTCTGATCACACAGACAGGGAAACGCTTTTTTAACTGAATGCCACTAGTAAAAAAATGTTTGCTGCACCTTTTTATTGTTGCCAGGCAACCACTCCATCACCTCCTTACACCAACGTTCCTGTGTCATCAATCTACCAGTTTTTTATTTTATTTATTTGACAGCAATCAGTATCTAGTTCCTGATATGTTGAAGCAGAGAGTACTTTCTGTAGCTCTGGTTGAGGGTCAGAGGCTGTCAGCAGATACACAGAGATCTGTGTGGGTACATGAGACCCTAAAAAAGAGGGTGGATCATAGGGAGTACCACCAGTTGGTCCAGGAGCTTCTCCTCCATGATGGCTGTTTCCAGGCATATTTTAGGATGACTCAGGGGCAGTTTGACAACCTGCTGTGTATCGTCACGCCATATAGCTCTGGGTATCCAGCAGCCACTACCACCAGTTTGTCCTCCATTGATTACCAACTGTGAACTTGTTGAGACCACCACAGAAGGCCCGCCTCTTAAATCATTTGATTGAACAACGGGGAAAAAAGAGATTTTGTAGGGTGCTTTTCCGCTCTGGGCTGAAGTTTTTTCAAAAATGTGAGGCACATCGCAACACAAAAAACAGCGAGCAAAAAGCTTCGTTCTCATCAAAAACAATTACAAAAAGCCGCCTCCAGCTGCTAAAACACTTTCTGTGTGATCAGGGCCTTAACATGGTCACTATTTAGCAGCACAGTCTAAAGCAGTGAAACTCAACTTACAGTCAAGATTTGGCTTGCAGTGGGGTGCTAGTTGGCCCACAACAATTTTTTAATTCACAATGAAAATAAACTGATTCACACTGGGATTTTTTTTTGGTTTTGGTTTTTTGGTTTTGTCAGAGTGAATAAAAAGCATCGAAATAGAGGATGTTTATCCATAAAAAAAGTGCCAGGGGACGATCCCCTTGAATAGAGGTCCAGACTAAGCCCTGAATGTCCCTAAATCTAGAAACACCTCTGTGTACACCACACCTGACCTGTGCAGGGCTGCTGTGACTGGATTTGCCTCTTGTCAAAGATGATTAGGTACCGCAAACATTGAAAGGTTGAAAAGATGCACTTAATTTATTACCTATACTGATAAATATGATTAATGGTTGTTTGTTAACTGGCCTCCTGTCATTTTGCAAAAGTGGCCCCAATGTAAAGCAGGTTGAGTGTCCCGGTCTAACGACTGAGTTATACTCAAAGTATCATCTGACCACATCTCAAGTCATAAAGAGGGGTTAGAGGCATGAATTGTTTCAATAGGAATAATGACACATGCTTGTTGACAGTCTTTCCTGGAAGGCATTTACACATAGTTTTGTATGTTTGCACACACAATGAGTCCAGGAAGTAAATGGGTAAAGACGTACAACAAGAGAGCCTGAGGGAGGGATTCAAAACAGCTTTGCATTTATGTCACATTATTGGTTTTGGAGAGTTTATAAAGTTGTCGGCTGCAGCTGAGTTATGAATGAATTTTTAATTGACTGTACCAGTATGTTGCGTTCACCCGTTTCCTGATAAAGGGGCAACTCTAGCTAAAAATGTAATTTGATTTAAAAAAAAAATCGTTTTTTAGTCTGTCATATTCATAAATGACCAAAATAGAGAACAATAAAGGGTTGGGGGGTTGATGCTGAACAACATCTTGTGTTTCTTTCCCGACTTTGATCAATTTGGATCCATTTGTGAACTTATTAATACATGTTTGTACATTAAATGTTCTAACATTGCATTTTAGTACATCCTCTCTGTATATATTTAATTTAATTTAAATATTTCTTTCTGTCTGTGTTGGGGTTTTTTTTTGTTTAGTTTGTCTCTTCTTATGTTTTTAGTATCTTTGTCCCTTTACTTTTTCTTTTTAAATTTTTTTGGAACTGCTACTGCACTGTAATTTGAGCATCTGTTAATAAAAACAAATCTTTGCAAAAAAACAAAACCTATTTGTCACCATTTGTGCGAGGGAATAATAAGTGTGTGACACATTATCTTACATTATTTCCTGTTTAAATGGATGTGTTATTGGTGTTTTGATGTAATTTTAAAACATTTAAAAAAAAAAATCTTTGAATCGTTTTCTCAATAAATATTTGATGAGTGTGTGCCTTCAGATTTTGATTTGCCCTCTGGTGTGTCTTGGGCACAAAAAGTTTGAAAACCGCTGCTCTAGAAAATGAAATGGAAAATATATATATATACACACTTTTTAATGACTAAAACATATAAAACCCCTGGTCTGGCTTTGAGGGTGAAAACCAGAACTGCAAAGCAGAAGTGAGGCTCGACTGAAAGTGTTTCATTCATTCCACTACTTCCAATGTGAGTAGAGATAAACTCCCCTGCTACTGGTGACATCTTCTGACACAACACTAGTGAACCCAATGAAAGCACAAGAAGCATTAATTTCATCTGAAGTAACAACAGTATATTTCAGACCATTAATGCATGTATTCCTATCAATAGAATAAAAACACTACATATATATCTCATTTTCCAACAGTCAAAACTACGTCACACACGTCTTCTGTCTCAGACCTGTCTCAGAGGTCTCACAGTCTAAGTGTCAGAGTGTATATTTGCTCACAGTGTGCCAGCTGTGAACAAATATCAGGTGTTACTGGGGATTTATTTTTCATTTTCTTGAGGAAACGTCAGTCAGGGGAACTCCAGGATGTAGGAGGTAGGATGTAGGGGGAGGAACTACAGTGATATCGAAAGTAGAGCTGGGTGTTGCATTACCTCTAATCCTCAGTAGGACACAGTTCACTCATATCACATTACGTGACTTCTTCAGGCGTCACCATTGTGTTTAAAGCAGAGGTGGAAACCTCTCCTTAAATAAGGACCACCTCCACTAACAACAATGACTACACTTTTATGAAATATTAACCTTAAGGGAAAAGGAATAGAAGTGCAATTTCAGGTAGGGGAGAGCGGGGTTCAACCTAACACATTTTAGTTTTGGCTACATGTTATTAAAACTGTTTGAGATCCTTTTTTTTCCCTTAACAACAAACACATCTCTGCTACACATGAACAGTTGTTTTACTTTTCTAGAGCTTACCTTTCTTCTACACTTGCAGAGAAACGGCAGAAGTGAAATGTTAAAATGTACCTCGTGGGTGGGGTCAATTGTAACAACACAATTACTTCAATACAATTATATCTATATACTATAGGTTGATAACATTTAAGGATCTATCTATGCTACGTATCCAAACAGCTGTACATCCCTCATGTGACCACCACTGTTTCATGAATGCAGATCAACACATAGACGGATACGTAGTATGTGTGGATATTATATACAGTCAGGTCCATAATTTTTTGGACAATGATACAGTTGTTGTCATTTTGGCTCTGTACACCACCACAATGGGTTTTAAATGAAACAATGAATACCTGCTTAAAGTGCAGACTCTCAGCTTTCATTTAAGGCTTTTTTCAAAAATGTAGTATGAACCGTGTAGGAATTACAACTATTTCTTCACACAGTCCCCCGACTTTAAGGGCTCATAAGTATTTGGACAAATTAACATAATCATCAATTAAACAGTCAGTTTTAATACTTGGTTGCAAATCCTTTACAGTCAATGACTGCCTGAAGTGTTGGACACATAGGCATCATCAGATGCTGGGTTTCTTCCCTGGTGATGCTCTGCCAGCCCTTTACTGCAGCCGTCTGCACTTCCTGCTTGTGTTTTGGGTGTTTTGCCCTCAGTTTTGGCTTCAGCAAGAGAAACGCATGCTCAGTTGGATTCAGGTCAGATGATATGACTTGGCCATTGCAGAACATTCCACTTCTTTGCCTTAAAAATGTCTTTGGTTGCTTTTGCAGTATGCTTCAGGTCAATGTCCATCTGCACTGTGAAGCATCGTCCAATGAGTTTTGAAGCATTTGGTTGAATCTGAGCAGATAATGGTGCCCCAAACACTTCAGCTTTCATCCTGCTGCTCTTGTCAGCAGTCACATCATCAATAAATACAAGAGAACCAGTTCCACTGGCAGCCATACATGGCCATGACATAACAGTACCTCCACCATGCTTCACTGATGAGGTGGTGTGCTTTGGATCATGAGCAGTTCCTTCCCTTCTTCCTTCTCTTGTCTTCCCATCATTCTGGTAGTTGATCTTTGTTTTATCTGTCCATAGTATGCTGTTCCACAACTGTACAGGCTTTTTAGATGGTTTTTGACAAACTCTAATCTGGCCTTCCATTTTTAAGGCTAACCAATGGTTTGCATCTTGTGATAAACCCTCTGTATTTATTCTAGTGAAGTCTTGTCTTGCTTACAAGAGCAGCAGGATGAAAGCTGAAGTGTTTGGGGCACCATTATCTGCTCAGATTCAACCAAATGCTTCAAAACTCATTGGACGATGCTTCACAGTGCAGATGGACATTGACCTGAAGCATACTGCAAAAGCAACCAAAGACATTTTTAAGGCAAAGAAGTGGAATGTTCTGCAATGGCCAAGTCATATCATCTGACCTGAATCCAACTGAGCATGCGTTTCTCTTGCTGAAGCCAAAACTGAGGGCAAAACACCCAAAACACAAGCAGGAAGTGCAGACGGCTGCAGTAAAGGGCTGGCAGAGCATCACCAGGGAAGAAACCCAGCATCTGATGATGCCTATGTGTCCAACACTTCAGGCAGTCATTGACTGTAAAGGATTTGCAACCAAGTATTAAAACTGACTGTTTAATTGATGATTATGTTAATTTGTCCAAATACTTATGAGCCCTTAAAGTCGGGGGACTGTGTGAAGAAATAGTTGTAATTCCTACACGGTTCATACTACATTTTTGAAAAAAAAAAGCCTTAAATGAAAGCTGAGAGTCTGCACTTTAAGCAGGTATTCATTGTTTCATTTAAAACCCATTGTGGTGGTGTACAGAGCCAAAATGACGACAACTGTATCACTGTCCAAATAATTATGGACCTGACTGTATTTCACTCTTATCATATGTGATAGATTGGACAGATTCTTGTAGATACCTATTGCTCCATCTACATCAGTGGAAGAATAGGTATCCGTACAGGTATTCATCCATCTGTTCATCTATCATTGATCATGGTTGGACCCATAGATGTACATAGGTTGGATAACCTAGATCCATACATCAAAATAGGAGTATTGGATTTATGAATATTAAGACTGTGAGACTATGTGTCAATAAGATACCTGACAAATTAAAAAATGCAAAGTATATCTCATTTAATTAAGGACATAAGTCAAACTTGACATAAGTTTGAAGTGCAAAAATATGCTGTAGGAGGCTTAGTTGGAACACAGCGTTATAACTAACCCTGCTCTATGGAAATGTTATTAGGTCTAGCTAACACTTGCTGGGAGTTGGTTACATACTTCAAAACAGTGCTATGTTTTAGACAAGAAGACAGTTAATAAGATGATACATGGCTGGATTCAGTGACTTACAGAATAGAAGAAAGAAAGAAATTACCTTAAATCAGCCAAAAACACTCTTTGTCAATGAACTTAGCTGAAACAAGTCCAGTCTCAGTGGAATATTGTGAGCCACTGTTTGGTGGTATTGTGGTCAAATGGCCAGAAGCATGAAAGGATTGACCCTGTGTAACTACTAAAAGTCTGTGTTACAATTTACCATACGTCTGGAGGTTCCCCGCGCTCCCCTAGTCAGCAAAATCCATTTAATTAGGTTTGGCTATTGTGTAGGCCATTGTTTCATTTTGAATTGAAGAAATCATTTAGCTATTAATGTTTTAAAGCTGAATTTGTTTTTCCCTTTACTAGCTGTGACTTGTCTATGGTCAGGGAAAGAGACAGACATGACCCAGCTCAGACCAAAGATTTACAACGAGACAGAACCGTTTTAGAACTTTGCAGAGAAAAGTTGCAGCTGTGTGAACTGGTCCTCCTGAGCTTCACCTGCAACTCAGCTGGTTTTTGCATGTTAAGCACGTCACCTGTGTCTACAGCCAATCAGCTTGTAGTGAAGTCAAAATGACCGCAGATGACGTGCCTGCTTGCTGCAGCAGGTGCTCTGTCCCCACAGTGTGCCGATGTCAAACAATGGGTGGCTGCTGCTGCTCGCTCTATGTGCTTATGCCCCCCCCCACACACACATTCTCCCTGACTGATTAATTGGCGCTGGTTTATATTATTGTGGCGTATTTATTATGAATACAGCCCATCTGATGCTTGTTGTGTTTGTTTTTTGCCGTTTCATCACTACTACAAATGCAGCTGTAGCCAGTACCTCACTATCATTGTCCTCATTCATATTTTAAGAAGGTACAAATTATATTCAGTCACAAAATAAACCTGAAAAGCTACAAATCAGAACAGAAGTACAGAGAGTTGCTGCATAGAGATGATACACCGTCTCACAGACAGGTTTTTAGAACGTTGCAGAACGGCACATTTGTTTCAACTCATCTTGTTGCGGATCTTTGGTCTGAACTGGGCTTTAAACGCTTCACATAGGGGGATTTTTGGGGGCTAAACTACACTCACCACAACCTGGAGCTACTCTTACCTCACACTGCATTTCGTTGCTCTCCTCTGAACTATATACACTTCTGTACTTTGATGTCTCTTTCTCTTCTTCTCCATTGGTTATCTCTCTGAGCTGCATCAGTGTCCTTACGCCTTTCTTTCGGTGGCTCCCTCTTCTCTCCTGCCTCCATGCTTTTTTCTTTTCCTTTCGTAATGAGAAACGCCATCTGAGCGGCGACTTACAGTTGACCTTTGGTAACATCAGCTGGTCACCGCACCGCACGTTTTACAAATCAAGCAGCTCATTTCATTTTGAATCATGGATATATTCTGAGCCAGTCAGCCTGAAATGTGTCTCTGAACGGCTGCTTCGCCTTATTAAAGGTGCTGTTGCATGTTTGTTTTTTGTTTTGTTTCTTACCTTTTTCATTACACGGAGCTCCACATCCTCGCCTGCTGTCCTGAACAGGTCCACCGTAGCTCTGTGTGTCAGATCCTCGAGCTTGACTCCGTTGATCTACAAGGGCAAGGCAAGGCAAGGCAATTTTATTTATATAGCACCATTCATACACAAGGCAATTCAATGTGCTTTACAAGAGAAATACGTTAAGATAAAACATTAAAGGAACAATAGATCATTAAAAACAAAAGCTAAAAGCAAGAAAAACAGTGCAGAAAATGCATTTAAAAAGCAAACATAAAGCAAAAGCAACAGCAGACAAATATAAAAACAATAGCTACAGATTA